AATTCGAGATGTGAGATAACAGAGAAACAAAGCAAAACAGTCAAGCAAGATAAAATAATAATAGTTTAGCCATTAAACAAAGTGAAGGGTCTTTAGTTCTTCTGCAACAGCTATAGATAACATGCTGAGACATGTCCTTGACCTGTTCTGCTGACACTGAAACCCCCACCAGGTGGAATAAGTGAGCTGCATGCTGACCACAAGCACACAGGCCCCAGACTGGACAGAACCAGAAGGTTGATGATGGTGACTCCTGATTACTTCACCACCAACCAATCAGAAAAATGTCCACAAGCTGATCAGGCACCCTGCAACCCTCTCGCTCACCCTGTCTTTAAAAACTTTTCCCCGAAAGCCTTTGGGGAGTCTGGGTCTTTTGAGCATGAGCCACCTGTTTTCCTTGCTCAGCCCCATGTTGGGGCGCCATGCAATAAACACTGTACTTTCCCTCACCACAAGCCAGTGTCAATAGATTGGCTTTAGTACACGTGGGCAAGTGGACCCAAGTTTGGTTCAGTAACATACATATATACATACATATACATATATGCAGATATATATACAAAAATACACATATACATACAAACATGTTGAGAAATGGAATACTGACTGCATATCAGTAAACAAAGGATGTCACAGTCATCAGTGATTGCAGCCACCAGCCTACGGTGAGGTGGTGAGCCCTGAGGGAACTCAGGATATGAAAACACAGGATACTGGCCCCAGACAGCTGAGGTATATATCAAAGAAACGATTTCAGTGTGCCCAGACTCTTTCATCTTCCCATACATAGAGAAGTGTTAAATTCCTTAACATGAGATGCCTAGTTTTCTTTAATTAAAAATAATCTTTTGACGTTCTAACCACCTGCCCTTGGTTGCAAAACTCCGATATAACCAGGCTCCCTCCTCGCCTCCTCGGAGCAGTTCTCTCAGGGTTACCTGAGATCCTGCCTCCCGGGCTTGAAGTCCTAAAAATTCCTGCCGAATAAAACATAACTCTCAACTTTTAGGCTGTGAATATTTCTTTAGTAGACAATATACATACACACACATTTTGTTTATTCATTCATCTGTTGATGGATATCTGGGTTGTTTCCACCATTTGGCCATTGTGAATAATGCTGCTATGAACATCAATGTACAAGTGTCTGAGTCCCTGCTTTCAATTCTTTAAGGTGTATGTCCAGAAGCATAGGTCATATGGTAATTCTATTTTTAACTTCTGAGAAACCACCAAACTGTTTTCCACAGTGGCTGCATCACTTTACATTCCCACCAGTAGTGCACAAGGGTTCCAATTTCTCCAACACTTTTTTTCCCATTTATGGGTAACAGCCATACTAATGGGTACATAGTAAGATCTCATTATGGTTTTGATCTGCATGTCCCTAATGACTAATGATGATGAGCACCTTTTCATGTGCTCGACTGCCTGGAAAGATCAGGTTGATGGCCATGATGGAATAACAGGGAATGGATTTATCCTCCTGCCTGAAACAACCAAAAAGAAAAGAAAGGAAAAGAGACAAAATACTTGAAACAATGGTTTTCAAGACATGGGACATCAGGCAAGAAGAACACTAACCCATGAAAGCTGGGAAACAACGAACTGAGCTCTATAATTGTCCCAGCTTACTTTCTTGAGAGAATTTCCAAACCACACAGTAGGGAGGGAGAACTGAGGTGGAACCTGGTGAGCTCCCTGAGTTGAAGAGACAGAGCTGCGAGTCCACGGAGACAAAAGTAGCTAGAGTTCATAGCACAGAGTACCAGAAAAGCCAGAGTTGCACAGAGAACCCCAATCATTCCCCTCAAGTATACAGAAGAGTACTGATCAGCATGTGCATATAAAGAAACTACACTAGACCAGCGAAAGAACCATTTGGAAGTATTAGAAGAACAGTGCCCACTATTCACACAGGGTCAGGAAACCGTAACCGGTTAACCTGACTGGAAAAAACCCATAATTCAGAGAATTACACAGACCTCAGGAAGGTCTTGCTTCAGTAGTGGGATATAAGACTGTGTACTTCCCCAGACCCACCTGATAAATCATAAAGCAACACCTAAAAGGATGAAACTGTTTCCAGGTAACTGCACCACAGAACAAAGCCAAAATTAAAATAAATTTTTAAAAAAATCCAGCACCCAACTACACAGAATTCAAAATATTTGGTATCTACTCAAAAATTTCCAGGCATGTAAAGAAGCAGAAAATTACAACCCATGACGAAAAGAAATACCAATCAACAGAAACAGACACAGAAATTACACAGATGACAGATTTACAGAAAAAAGCCGTTAAAACAACTATTATACTCTATATGTTCAAAACACAGACAATGTATGAGCGTGTTAAGGAGGGATATGGACAAGATAAAATGACATATCAAACTTTTAGAGCTGACAAATACACTGGATAGTATTAACAACAGATTAGACACTACAGGAAGAAAAGATTATCAAACTTGAAGGTACAGCAACAGAAATCACTCAAAATGAAACAGAGAGGGGAAAAAAATGACCACAGTGTCGATAATACATGATGTGACATCAAGGAGCCTAAATAATATACACATAATTTGAGTCACAGAAGGAAAGGAAAAGGGAGTCAGAAAAAAAATTGTTGAATAAAGGCAAAAAACTCTCCAAATGTGATGAAACCTTTGAACCCATGTGAAGAGTACAGTGAACTTAGCAGACCTGAGACAGGTATCCCTAGAAAGCCCTGCTTACAATGTTGGTCCCTGCCTACCTCTGGGAACTTAGATTTCAGGATGATTCCCACCATTCCCTAAATGATAAGAGTACCTCCCTGTGCCTAAACTGTGCAAACAATATGGCTTATGTTGAATACCTGTTTTCCATCCTGAAAACTGAAATTCTGGCACGTTAGGCAGAAAGCTCCCCTGATAAAAACCGGTGGCACTGAGTCACCGATGAGCACTGCCGGCAGACAACACTGTACATATACTGTCAAAACTCATTGCTGGAGCAGTTAAGCATCCCCTGTATGACTCCACTGGAAAAAGACTCTTGGAAGAGTGCTGATTTTACTTTTGTATCTTTTCACTGTAATAAACCATAGCTGTGAGTATGACTGTATGCTAAGTTCTGAGTGTCTTCCTAGCAAATCACTGAACCCAGAAGTGAGCTTGGGGATCCCAGACAAACCACAGATCCAAGAAGCTTGACAAACTCCAAGCAGAAAACCACACCTATAGGCATATCACAATCAAACAGTTTAAAACAAGGAATAAGAAAAACTTAAAAGATCAAGAGTGAGAAGAGCTTCAGGCTTCTTGATAGCAACTCTGGAACTAGAAGACAATGAAGCAATGCCTTCAAAATTCTAAAGAAAATTAATTTCCAACCTAAAATTCTATATAAATTTTCAATCACACGTTAAAGTGTGATGAATGCATCTTCTGACATGACAAGTCTCAAAAAATTATCTTCCATAAATCCTTTCTTGGAAGCTGCTGGAAGATGTGCTCAATCAAAATGTGAGTAACAACCAAGAAAGAGGAGTCCAGGATAAAGCTGCTCCATGCAGGAGCGAGGTGAAGGGAATTCCCCCAAAAGATGGTGAAGGGTGACTCAAGGGTGGCTACATTCACAAAGCACAGAGGACTCTGAGTTGAAATCAGAGCGGCTAGGAGGTTGTGGGAAACAGTTCTCCATAAAAACAAAACGAATAGAATGCTGAAAGGATAAAGAAGATGTGGTATGTAATTACAATGGAATACTACTCAGCCGTAAGAAAGAATGAAATAATGCCATTTGCAGCTACATTGATGGACCTAGAGATTATCATGCTAAGTGAAGTAAGTCAGACAAAGACAAACACCATATGATATCACTTATAGGTGGAATCCGAACTATGACACAAATGAACATATCTACAAAACAGAAACAGACTCACAAACATAGAGAACAGACCTGTGGTTGCCAAGGGGGAGGGGTGGGGGAGGGAAGGATTGGGAGTTTGGGATTAGCAGGTGCAAACTATTACATACAGGATGGATAAACAACAAGGTCCTACTGTAGAGCACAGGGAACTCTATTCAGTATTTTGTGATAAACCATAATGGAAAAGAACATGAAAAAGAATACATATAACTGAATCACTTTGCTCTACAGCAGAAATTAACAACACTGTAAATCAACTATACTTCAATAAAATGTTTTTTAAACTTTTTTTAAAGAACTAGTAGAATGCCTGCTATGTGTGAAAGTCTTAATGGGAGAACTGAACAATGGTAAAAAATAAGCGTTTTATTCATGATAAGTAAAACTAGGCAAACAAAAACCCAAATGATTAACTCCAACAAAAACGAAAAGTTGGGAAGGAAAATCACAATTAACAGTTGTCTTGTTATGAATATTATTATTCAGAATTGCATAATGCTGAATCTAATGTAACCAGACCATGAGACATCTGTCCTGGGGGAACAGAGGGATGGAAAAGTCCCATGTGTACCAGAGATGAGAGTGGGTGAGGAGAAAAGTACTCAGTATTTATCCACGTTTCAAAGCACATTACAGGGACTTCCCTGGTGGTCCAATGGTTAGCAATCTGCCTTCCAGTGCAGGGGAGACAGGTTTGATCCCTGGTCAGGGAACTAAGATCCCATATGCCGCGGGGCAACTAAAGTCCGCAAGCCGCAACTAGTGAGCCTGCACACCACAACTACAGAGCCCATGCACTCTGGAGCCCGCACACCACAACTAGAGAGAAGCCAGTGCACCACAACAAAAGATCTCACAGGCCGCAACTAAGACCCAAGGCAGCCAAAAGTAAAATAAATATATATTTTTTTTTAAAAAAAGCACATTACAATCATGTTATTTAGAGAAAAGGAGGTAAAGAACAAAATAATCCACAGAGTCAAAAGTGGTAGAGTCCCTGAGGAAGGAGTTTCAAACAAAACACCAAAGGCTGTGACTAACAAATGCCATAAACAGAATGGAAAGTTGGAAACAATTCGTTCTTACCTTAGAAAGTTCAGGCAGCATCTCTGGAGGTGTCAAAGAACGACTGCTTGTACAAGAAGCACGGTCAGATATTTCCACCACACTCTCACGGTCTTCAAATTCATCACATGTATCTTCCCTGTCACTGTCAATCTCCCAGTCAATAACCTGGAGATCATCTAAAAAATACAATTTTAATTTTAAATATCTTTAATGTGTTTGAAATCTATTCTTCCTCAATAGTTTTAAAAGATCCATGTTTTTCAACAATTTTAAAATATATTAAAAGACAGCAGAAAGTATACTCCTACTCTTATCTATAAACATCCCATTTCTCCCAACTCTTACCCCTACCCCAATTCTCAGGAAACTACTTCTATTAGTTGTTTTTGTATTCTTCTAGAGCTTCTCCAGCATTATTGTTGATACGGAGAAAGTTTCAATGGTCTGGATAGAAGATCAAACCAGAAACAACATTCCCTTAAGCCAAAGCCTAATCCAGAGCAAGGTCCTAACTCTCCTCAATTCGATGAAGGCTGATACAGGTGAGGAAGGTGCAGAAGAAAAGTTTAAAGCTAGCAGAGGTTGGTTCATGAGGCTTAGGGAGAGAAGTCATCTCCATGACATAAAAGCGCAAGGTCAAGCAGTGAGTGCTGATGGAGAAGCTGCACCAGGTCATCCAGATGATCCAGCCAAGATAATTCATGATGGTGGTTACACTAAATAACAGATTTTTAATGCCGATGAAACAGCCTTCTACTAGAAGAAGATGCCATCTAGGACTTTCATAGCTAAAGAGGAGAAATCAGTGCCTGGCTTCAGAGCTACAAAGGACAGGCTGACTGTCTTGTTACGGGCTAAACAGCTGGTAACTTGAAGTTAAGCCAATGCGCATCGACCATTCTGAAAATCCTAAGGCGCTTAAGAATTATGCTAAATCTACTCTGCCTGTGCTCTATAAACAGAACAAAGCCTGGATGACAGCACATCTGTTTACAACATAGTTTACTGAATATTTTAAGTCCACTGTTGAGACCTACTCCTCAGAAAAAATGACTCCTCTCAAAATATTAATATTCATCGACAATGCACCTGGTCACCCAAGAGCTCTGATGAAGATGTTGTACGATGGAATGAATGTTGTTTTCATGCCTGCTAACACAACATCCACTCTGCAGCCCATGGATCAAGGAATAATTTCAACTTTCTAGTCTTGTTATTTAAGAAGTTCATTTTGCAAGGCTATAGCTGCTACTGACAGGGATTCCTCTGATGGATCTGGGCAAAGTCACCTGCAAACCTTCTGAAAAGGATTCTCCATTCTAGATGCCATTAAGAACGTTCATGATCCATGCATGGGAAAAGGTCAAAATGTCCACAGTAACAGGAGTTTGGAAGAAGTGGATCCTGACCTTCAAGACTTCAGTGGAGGAAGGACTGCAGATGTGGTGGAAATAACAAGAGAAGTAGAACTAGAAGTGGAGCCTGAAGATGTGACTAAATTGCTGCCATCTCAGGATAAAACTCTTAACAGGTGAGGAGCTGCTGCTGATGGATGTGCAAAGAAAGTGATTTCTTGAGGTGGAATCTACTCCTGGTGAAGAGGCTGTGAAGACTGTTGAAACGGCAACAAAGGATTTAGAACATTACAAAAACTTAGTTGATAAAGCAGCAGCAAGGTTTGAGAGGACTGACTTCAATTTTGAAAGAAGTTCTCCTGTGGCTAAAGTGCTATCGAGCAGCATTGCAAGCTCCAGAGAAATCGTTTATGAAAGAAAGAGGCGATTGATGCAGCAAACTTCACTGTTGCCTCATTTCAAGAAACTGCCACACCAACTCCAGCCTTCAGTGAGTAGCCATCAACACTGAAGCGAGATCCTCCACCAGCAAAAATACACGACTTGCTGAATGAAGGCTCCGATGATGGTTAGCATTTTTTCTGCAATAAAGTATCTTTTAATTAGGGTACGTGCATTTCTTTTTAGATATAATGCTGTTGCACACTTAACAGACTACACTAGTACGTAAATATAACTTGTCTGTGCACTGCGAACCCAAACATTCATGTGACTCGGTTTGCTGCAACATTCACTTTATTGCGGTCATCGGGAACCAAACCTGCAATATCTCTAACGTGTACCTATACTTTAGAGAACTGGCTTGGTCAAAGAGACCCAAAGTGGAATCCAACCAGTTCTAACATGTTAAAGCTTAAGTTGTTAACTGTTAAAAATAATACTGGTAATACTTATCTCTTACAGTTATTGTGATAAATATTATGAGAAAATGTTTCTAAAAGGCTGGGAGGCTGGGACTCAGTAATATTTTAAAAAATGCTAAGTATCAATATTAGAAAAAGAATGTAAGTTTCTTCCATTATTAAAACCCAATCTATAACAGAAACTAAATTTCTTACAAAATTATCAATTTACCTTCACTGGCCCCATCTTCTGGAGAGAAAATATTTCTGCTATAAAACCTGCCTATTCTAGAACCATGTCCATTCTCTCTCTGTGATTTAAAAATTGTTTTATCTTCATCTGACAGATCACTTCCACTGGAACTCCATGCTATAGCTGTAAGCCCACTGGTACTCTTAGATGTGGTAGGCTCTGCAAAAGAAAGAGGGAAAATATAAAAATGGCCAATTGATACAGTTATTGATCAAAATGAAGCTTTATACATGTTACTTTGCTGAAGTCACAAATATACAAAATTCTGATGATAGTGAAAGCAATGTCTTATTTCAAATCTTCCGAACTGAAGGTCTATGTGCAACCTGGCTAAGATTCTTTGAATTAAAGCCAAATTACAAGAAGAAAAAGAAGTCAAACTGATTGAGAAAAGTCATAAAAGACAAGGAAAATGACTGGAGCACAAATGAAAACTCAAAAATAACCTTCAAATAATTACAAAACTATAAAACTTCATAGAATATTTCAAGCCATAAGGAAAAACAAAAACACAAAACAGGGCTTCCCTAGTGGCGCAGTGGTTGAGAGTCCACCTGCCGATGCAGGGGACACGGGTTCGTCCCCCGGTCCGGGAGGACCCCACATGCCACGGAGCGGCTGGGCCCGTAAGCCATGGCCGCTGAGCCTGCGCATCCGGAGCCTGTGCTCCGCAACGGGAGAGGCCACAACAGTGAGAGGCCCGCATACCGCAAAAAAAGAAAAACAAACCACAAAACAAACCACACCAATAATTATCGGTAATAGGAATGCTTCTGTGTGCTTCATTTGCCATACTAGGAGCCCTGGTAACAGCAGTTTGCTTAAAATACTTAACAGCAAACTTTTTTAATTAATTAAACTTATTTTGAGGTAATAGTTGGTTCACATACAGCTGTCAGAAATAACAGAGAGGGCCCCTGTACGCTTCACCCAATCCCTCCAATGGTAACATTCTGAAAACCACAGTACAACACAGAATGTCGATACCGACAGTCAAGATAGAGAACTCCATCCCTGTAAGGATATCTTACACTGCCATCCCTGTGAGGATAACTCCCCTCCCCACCTCAATTCCTAAACCCTAGCAACCACAAAGCAGTTTTGCACTTCTATAATTTTGTCATTTCAAGAATAATATATAAATGGAATCACCTGTGTTACCTTTTAGGATTGGCTTTTTGTGCTCAGCATTATTCCCTGGACATTCACCAGGCTGTTGTGTGTATCAACAGTCACTTTCTTTTCATTACTGAGCAGTGTTCTGTGGTGTGGATGAACCACAGCTTGTTTAATCAGTTACCCTTGAAGGACAACTGGGTTGTTTCCATTTTGGGGCTATGACAAATGAAGCCACTATGAACACTGTGTACAGCATTTTACGTGACTGTAACTTTCATTCTCCAGGATAAATGTCTAAGGGTGCAATTGTTGGGCTGTATGGTAATTGTGTGTTTACTCTTGTTAATGAACTGCCAAACTGTTTTCCAGGGCGGCTGTGCCATTTTATAGTCCCACCAGCAATGTGTGACTGATCCAGTTTTTCCACATCAGCAGCAGCACTTGGTGTGGTCACTATATTTTATTTTATCCATTCTGATAGACAGAAAACCGAGAAGGAACAGGGCGACTCTATCTCGATGGAACCAGAAGTCCAACAGAAAATTTTACTCATTTTGATCAGAAACGGAATAGGTATCTAATAAAAATCAAATTTTCTATTCCTATTGAGTAGATAGGTGAGTTATAATGCTAAAACCAAAAAAAAAAAAAAAGAACTCTCTTAGTCACATTTCAATATAGTATAAAGTTAAGAGATTAGATATTATAACTCAAGTTTTACAGAAGACGAAACAGGCTCAAAAGTTAAATGACTTCATTAAATACCTATTTATATAACACCTCTGATATAGTAAACCTTGAGGAAACAAAAAAAAGAAAGAAAACTCCTGCCCTCAAGGAATGCATGATCTGAAAGGCAACACTAGTTGATCATGAAAAGAAGAATTAAATACTGTATTAGAGATATGTCACAGTATAAGGATGATGGCACCAAAAAGGTGGATGCTCCACTTTATGTTGATCAGGAAAGGAAGATTCACTGACAAAACGATGTCTGGAAAATCAACATTTACAAAGGCACAAAAACATGAAATAATAGTAAACACTTACTGAACACTTACTTTGTTCCATGAACATCTAGAATTACTAAAGTTGTCTATCCTTCAAAATAAAAAGTTAAATATAAACTATTCACAATAACCTAAGAACCCATATTGATTTAAAGAGCTAATAAAACTAAGCTGTGTACTTACTTGCCAAAGACATTATCAATCTTTTTCATTATTATGCATCTGGACAAGTAAATCAAAAAAGAAAAAGTAGAATGCTACAGACTGAATGTCTGTGTTCCCCTAAAACTCACATATTGAAGCCAAATCCCAGTGTTATGGTATTAAGAGGTGTGGCCTTTAGGGGGTAATTAGATCATGAGGGTGGAGCCCTCATGAATGGAACTAGTGCCCTACAAAAGAAGCCCCAGAGAGATCGCCAGCCTCTTCTACCCTATGAGGATGCAGCAGGGAGGTGCTATGAACCAGGAAGCGAGTCCTCGCCAGACACTAAATCAATGTCCTGACTTTCCACCTCCAGAACTGTGAGAAATAAATTTCTTTTGTTTATAAGCCACCCAGTCTACAGTATTTTTCTTATATACAATAGCAGCCTGAATGGACAAAGACAGGAAATTATCACTATTTTCAGATTATATAATGAATTCATAAACCTATATATTATAGGCACCTAACTGTATAATTTATATAGTTAACCTCTACCAGGAATTTATTACTCAGTAATTCATTTTATTTGCTAAAAAGGGGTTGCCCTTGAAATCAAGGCTCATTCCAACGAAATTCCAGGAACAACATCAGCCAGACTATGAGAACATTTACCATGTATTTATAAACATTTCTGAGTGACCAATGTGTGCTAGGCACTATGCTAGGACTTGGTGTTATAGGCTGAATTGTGTCCCCCCCAAAACTCATTCATATGTTAAAATTCTAACCCCCAAAACTCATTCATATGTTAAAATTCTAACCCCCAGCATCTAAGAATGTGAACTTATTTGAAGACAGGGTCTAAAGTGATATTATTAGTGTGGGCCCTAATCTAATGTGACACCTGTCCTTGCAAAAAGGAGAAATTTGAACACAGAACCATACATGCAGAGAGCGAAAACACAGTAAAGAGACACTTGGAGAAGACAGCCACCTACAAGTCAAGGAAAGAAGCCTGGAGCACATCCTAGAAGGAAGCAACCCTGCCAATACCTTCACTTTAGACTTCTAGCCTCCACAGCTGCAAGATAAGAAGTTTTTGTTGTTAAAAACACCCAGTTTGGGGCTTCCCTGGTGGCGCAGTGGTTGAGAGTCCGCCTGCCGATGCAGGGGACACGGGTTCGTGCCCCAGTCCGGGAAGATCCCACATGCCACGGAGCGGCTGGGCCCGTGAGCCATGGCCACTGAGCCTGTGCATCCGGAGCCTGTGCTCCGCAACAGGAGATGCCACAACAGTGAGAGGCCCGCGTACCGCAAAAAAAAATCCAAAAATCAAACAAACAAAAAAAAACACCCAGTTTGTAGCATTTCATTATGGCAGCCCTAGCCATATCCTAGCCCTAGCCACCTAGGATATAAAGATGAGCAATACAGGAGGGTCTTCCCTGAAAAAATCTATGGTCCAACAGGGAGAAAAGCACATCAAGAAATAATAATTTAAAAATTTACTAATGCAGGACTTCCCTGGTGGTTCAGTGGTAAAGAATCTGCCTTCCAATGCAGGGGATGCAGGTTTGATCCCTGGCTGGGGAACTAAGATTCCCACATGCCGTGGGGCAACTAAGCCCACGTGCCACAACCACTGAGCTCGCGGACCTCAATGAGAGAGCCTGCGTGCCACAAACAACAGAGCCCACATGCCACACTGCAGAGAAGCCCACGTGCCACAACGAGGAGCCCGCGTGCCACAACTAAGACCTGGTGCAGCCAAAAAAAGATATAATAATAAAAAAATAAAGAATTTTTTTAAAAAATGGGCAGAAGACCTGACTAGACACTTTTTAAAATAATAATACATAAAAATTTACTAATGTTTCTCAAGGAGATTTCTGACTCCATAACAAATAAATATTTTGAGAACATATTTTGCAGGGTATTTCAAGAAAAAAAATAAACACTGTCTTCTTTTTATTACATAGTTTCATTTTGCTTGGTAAATATACTTTTTTAAAGTTTTGCCTTTTAAAGAAAATCACTAACTGCAAAGGTTCCAGCCTCTTTTCATTTCACGTTTTTATCTTCTTCCACGTCCCTCAAACCTTCTGGCGAGATCCTTTGCCAACATTCATTTGCTCACTTCTCTCACCCCTTCCCTTCTACTCCATTTCCTCCCCCTTCCTTCTCTGGTTCTCAGTGCCTTACAGGTAAGGAAATAGAGATATGGAAACAAGGAAACGGAGTCTCCCCCTTTTTTGCACACTTTGCAAAAGTATGTTCCCCCACTTCTGCTTCCCAGCTCTCATAAAAATATTACTTCCACATCCTAGAACTTTTGTTAATAGCCTGTCTTAAACTAATATGTTAGGAGTTACTGTTTTTAAAATGAACCAGTTCTAGGAAATGCCTTGAGTCCCCTTTTCTATCAATTTCTGTTTGTAAGCTTCTGTTAAGTTATTAACAATACTTTCTGTTCTTAACAACCTGCTTATGCTATAGATAAATTAATTATACATGGATACAAGCTCTTTCAGCCCATGAAAATCTACTGATCATTCCACAGAATAGAAAGCACAGCAGAGTAGGTTTTAGGTTGAATATATTGGCATGGGAAATCATCTTAAAAGATCCTTTTGAAATTAAATACAAAGTAGCAGCTTATTTAATATTTCTCTCTCCCCAAGTTAAATTTGACTACACCAATTTTAAGTCTCCAAAAAAAGATAGAAGCCACATATGTAAAAGAAAATCGTTAGTTGACCCTTGAACAACACAGGTTTGAACTGCGCAGATCCACTTACACACAGATTTTTTTCGATAAATATGCACTACGGTACGGCACGACCCGCAGTAGGTTGCATCCGCTGATGAAGAACTGCAGACAAGGAGAACTGACTGTAAAGTTAGTTACAGGCATATTTTTGACTGTGTGGAGGGTCAGCGCCCCAGCCCCCCATGTCAGTCATTCAAGGATCAACTATACTATTCTCTCCATACATTATGACAGTTTAGAAATGAGAATTAAATTGATCTTTGAAAATCACAATATTCAGCACTAATAATATTAAAAATTAAATTCTGTAGCGCCATCAGAAGACTATGGTATTTTGTAATACAGCATTTTATGAATCAAAAAAATTAGGGGAATTTTATTCTTCAATTGCATAAAAAGAACCCCCTTAAATGTTAGTGAAGTGATAATACAGCTTAAAGTGTTTAGTCTCTTATTCATAGAAAGCTTCCCCACTCCACAGGACTCTGAGCAGGCTCCCCCATAGGTCTCTCTGCCATCAAACATAACAGCAATTGCTGCCATTAAGCACCTACTAAGTGTAAACCTTTGAACTAGGCGTTTTGATTATTATTATTTTTTTTTTTTTTTTTTTTT